GTGTTTATTAGATTAAGTACATGCCATAAACATAGAACTTCAAAGGTAGAAGAGAAATATTGGATTCTCTTCATTCCTCGCAATGGTTAATGCAATTCTCTGCTTCCTTTCTCTATGTCTACCCCAAAAGAAGTGCCAGAGCAAAGGCCTTATGAGTTGTCCCATTTTGCTGTTTAAATGATGTCTTCATCTCATCTGGAAGGAACAATCCTAATATTCAGCCAAGTCAATTGGAAGCAAATTAAATGACCTCCAGCACTCCTCTCTTGATAATATTTGGGTGTCTTTTATGCTTCTCCATGAAAAGAAAATTTACTGCATGGCAAACCAGGCCAGTGAATTATTCTCCTGAATAGACCCATTCTTTGTTTGAATACAAAGCAACCTTTTCATGTGTTTCCCAGATAATCACTCTGTTTGCCTTTACCTGAGTTTACTCTAGTGTCATTTAATAGAACAAAATGTATTTTTTCCTAATAGAGGTTTTAGACTCTCCAATATACCAATTCTCTATTACTGTTCATGCTCTGAGTTCCTTTTATCTAAATAATAAATCTACAATTTGTGGAAATTGTTCCCGAACTTTAAAGCTAGTTCTCTGTTCTCTTTGGCATAGAATTTGAATTTTATTTGCTCTCAAGTTTTTCCAATGCAGAGATTTGGGTCTAAGAATATTTATATTATAAATAAAGTAGAAACAGAAAGTCCTGTCTAGAAGTTAGAGTACGGCATAAATATATTGTTCATCAGCCATTTATTGTGGCTTTTAATTTAAGCCCTTATGTTAAATGAAGGATATATTTACTGTGTAGTTCATAATACTATATTTGTAGAAATATTTTTACAGTATTGATGGTTTCAGATTTCTTTACAATGGCAAAGTAAAACTTTGAAAGAAGTTAGTGTCAACATCAGAGATAAAAGGTTAATTTCTAAATGGTTTTCAAGTTCAAATTTTTCTTTTTTCTTTTCTTTTTTTGATCTTAAAACTTTCCAGTGTAAAGTTAGAATTTTTAAAGAGGCAATGAAAACCACAGACAAAATCTTTTTTAAGAAATGTACCAAGTATCCAGGAAATTACATGTTTCACAGATTCATGCACCGTTAGTTATCATCATCAGCAAGAAAGAAAACGATTTACTCTAGTAACTGCCTTTTGCTGATAAGATCCAGGAAAGAAACCAGTTCCTGCCTTATGATAGTCTTATTAGAATAAGACAAATGTTTACTGATTCTCAAAGAAATAAAAGGGACACCTTTGTGTAAAGTTTGTTATTGATTAGATCAGAGTATTGGGTGTCCAGGGAAATCTATTAAGCCTAGCTGCATCATGTGGAGCAGTCGTGCCACTGCTCATTATCAACTCTCTGATGCTACATTTAACAGATTCCATGCTTCTCAGCCTACCTTCTGTGGCCATACCTGAAGGTTCTGTAAAGTTATGTTTCTGGCCTCCGAATGAAATTTTTTCAGTTCCATATTCTTTGAACATCATCAACATTTTTTGAAAGAAGGAGACATTCAGAAGCTATTTTATGCGAATTGCTGTTTCCTTGAAGCACACTTTCAAGGAGACGTGCAAGAGATTTAAATAAAATTGTTGTATAAACACAGCCATGTTAAATAGATGTTCAAGAAGAATATTTTATCTATGATCAGAGAATTATGGAAAAAGAATCATCACCCACATAACTGAAAGGAGGGTACATGATTAATGCTGTTTTTTAAAATAAATGCACTTATTTCACTAAAAGATATAAATTCACATATAGAAAATCTGAAAAAGAGAGAAAAGGAAAAAAATCACCATCAATTCTACACAATCATTGTTTTAATCTGGGTGTCTAGTTTCTATTAAAAGTTTATTTTTAGTTAAATTATATTTATTAAAAGTATAGTTTTACAAATGTAATTTTAAAATATATCACACATAGGAAGGTTTATTTAATTTATAATGTGACAAAGCTCAAAGATATAATTATGGGGTAGTAAATGATAACTTATATGGTATTTGACCTTTTCATTTCAAAGTTTTTGCATTCTATCCATTCAGTTCTTTTCCAACATTATATGTACTGTTAATAAAGTGTTTAGAATGTTTTGGCACATGGTGTGCGTTACACCCATGTTTATTGTGTGATTGTTGTTACTGTACTTAGTAATATAAATAATTCAAATGTTATTCATTATAAAGGCATCTATCACTAATCCTTTCATAGTGCCAAATAAAATACATTTTAGAACAATGTGTTAAATGATACTTATTATCTAGTAAAGTGTAGAGGGAAGTGCAGGTGGTAGAAGTCATTTAAAACACCTGGATTCATGAAAACGAATCCACTTTTAATAGTCATTGGTTTTTCCTGCAGGGAGAGGCATAGTGTTCTCTCTTTCAAAGGAATTCATTCCAAATTGAATCACCTTTCGTGACAACACTCCCTTCATCAGACTTCTTATAAACCTCTGCCTTCCCTTAAACAGGGGAAGAATTTTCTGCCTTATGACCCTTTATTCTGAGGGCCATCCTAGTGAATCAATTTTATAAATTAATTTACACAATGTTGTTACCCACCTAGGGAACTGTTCACAGTGGTGTTCTGGAACCTTGACCACAACTCACAGGAGGGGATGCAGTGGGAATTTGGTCCATGAAGGTGCTCCTTTCGGCCTAGTGAAACCAGGAAGTATTTCTCAATTCACTTCAAGTATAGGCAAGTTCCCACAGGATCTGAGACTACCCCTTGGCATTATTATCCTCATATGAAGTCCTTAATGCCTGCTGCATGTGATACTGTGATTTAAAAGAGCAAATTGTTTGAATGTCTACCATGTATCTCTTAATATCTTCATGTTGTAAAGTAAATTTTATATTGCTTATAGGGTCATATTCTTTTTTAACCTCCTTCTGGTTCATGTTAATGTAATTTCTTTAATTAATGGATAGAATGCAAAAATTAATTAATATATTTAATTAATTACATTAATGTAGTCCTGGGTGTGGAACTGAATGGATAGAATGCAAAAAATTAATTAATTAATTAAATTCATTACATTAAATTAATGTAATTCTGGATGTCTCTACAAGTAACTGCAGAACCATTCAACTTACCTAACTCTCATGTTAGCATTGGTGCTATTTATTGATTGTTCTTTATTTCCAAGCAAGAACATATTGTTACCATCACAACCCGCCCCCTTCTTTTTTTTTGGGACAGAGTCTCACTCTGTCACCCAGGCTGGAGTGCAGTGGCATGTTCTCAGCTCGTGACAACCTCTGCCTCCCAGGTTCAAGCTGGAAGCTGATAACTGAGGGAGGAGACTTATGAAAACAATATTGATAATAATAATAACAATCTCTAATGCTTATAAATTTGTGTAATGTTGGCATTATTTCTTCCCTAATGTTTGTGAGAATTTACCAGGGAAGCCATTTGACCCTGGAATTTTTCTTGTTGGAGGGGTTTACAATTTTGAATATAATTTCCTTAACAGACATAAGGCTATTCAAACTTTCTATTTCTTGTCAGATTTGTTCATTTGTGTTTCTCAAGGAGTTCATTTTATCAAAGTCATTGAATTTATTGGTGTAACATTGACAGCAATATGTTTTCTTGCTTAAATGTCTATAGCATCTCTAGTAATGCCTCTCTTTCACTTTTTTTTTTTTTTTTTTTTTTTTTTGAGACAGAGTCTTGCTCTGTTGCCCAGGCTGGAGCGCAGTGGTGCTATCCTGGCCCACTGCAGCCTCCACCTCCTGGGTTCAAGCAATTCTCCTGCCTCAGCCTCCCAAGTAGCTGGGACTACAGGCACCCACCACCACGCCCAGCTAATTTTTGTATTTTTAGTAGAGATGGGGTTTCACCATGTTGGCCAGGCTGATCTCGAACTCCTGACCTCAAGTGATCCACCTGCCTCAGCCTCCCAAAGTGCTGGGATTATAGGCATGAGCTGCCAAGCCTGGCCTTCACAAACCCTTTTAATAATCCAGTTGGGAATCCATTAAGCATTAAAGCTCTATAGTGAGATTATGCATCATTACTTTCAATATTCATGGCCATTTGAGTAGCAGGAATCATTTTCTCAACTAGACTTAGTGGGTAAATGAACATGTTTACAATGTAAAGGTTTATGGCTTGTTATCTTATTGTGATGGTGGTTTTTGCATTTTTTGGCTTTTCTCTCCATAATAAATTGAGACATTAAATACAAATATTTCAAAGGGAATGAGAGTAAAAAATAAATGTTAACAGCAATATCATGAAATTTGGGACTTCATTACAACTCTCCAAATTCTGATCAAAAGACTCACTTTAGAACTTAGAATTAGGAGTATTAAAGAATGGCTAAAATAGCTGAGATGGACTTTAGTCAATAACTGGTTTGACATCACTTATTTCCCTAAGAGAATCTGTTTTCTCATTCTTTTATAAAGACAGCAATTAATATCATTTAAGTTAAAAGTTTACTGGGCGGACATGGTAGCTAACACCTGTAATCCCAGCACTTTGGGAGGCCAAGGCAGGCAGATCACTTGAGGTCAGGAGTTCGAGACAGACCCTGGCAACATGGTGAAACCCAATCTCTACTAAAAATACAAAAATTAGCCGGGCGTGGTGGCGTATGCCTGTAATCCCAGCTACTCAGGAGGCTGAGGCAGGAGACTCGCTTGAACCTGGGAGGCAGAGGTTGCAGTGAGCTGAGACTGCACCACTGCACTCCAGCCTGGGCAACAGAGCAAGACTCTGTCTCAAAAAACAAACAAACAAAAACCCCAAAAAACAGACTGACTATTGTGACTATTTTTAATGTTTTTAAAGATCACTTCTCTCCAGAGTCTAACACAGGGTGCGTTGTGCCTACCCAGTATCTTGGATGCCGTGTGCTCCAGAGTTCCTGTAATGAAAATTATCTCTGCCCCATCATATGGACAATGAATTCAGTGGTGCCTTCTCCCTCTCTGTGGTTTCCATGTTACTAACTGTCAGTGCCTTTTTCTGTAGGCAGAATACTTCTATGAATTCCTGTCCTTGCGCTCCCTGGATAAAGGCATCATGGCAGATCCAACCGTCAATGTCCCTCTGCTGGGAACAGTGCCTCACAAGGCATCAGGTGGGTGGTCTTTGCCTGAAGCAAGGTTTACACTTAAAATGTAATGATGATGAGAATATTTAAGATGCAAATGTCCTACCATCAGAGAGGTTATGAGATGTTTTCCTAAAGAGATCTGTTGATTTTAGGACAGTTCAGTTGTTATTCTGTGGGCAAAGGATTAAGATGGGAGTGAAGAAATTATGGTTATATAATTTTCTAAAAATTCAGAATAGCCCCAGCCCAGCCCACACTAAGTTCATAAATGATTCAAGACATTTTTAAAGAAAAAAAAAAGAAGAAATAAACACATCTAGTGAGATATATTTGGCCAATGTATGGATTAATGAGATACACAAAAATGTGGCAAAGATACAAAGTAAGTGATTGGAGGGCAGATGGGGTAAGTCAAGAAAATTCCCCAAAAGTTAGCATTGTATTCAATTAGAATTTGAAGGAGAGAGGAGACGTGGAAAAATGGGAGAAAGGCATTCAACATTTCTAGTCTAATCATCCTTCTTTGCTAAGAAAATAATAGTATGTGATATTTGTTTCAAACTTTTCAGCTTACAGGAGACCCACTCTTGCGCTATCTAATTTGAATACTAGCAGTGAGTCAAATCCAGAATTGCAGCTCCATTTTCTAAATTAAAAAATTAAGACTTAGGAGATTTGACTGGCTTGCCCAAAGTCAAATATTAGGATAGTAATAAGCAGTAGAGTTGAGACTAGAGCCCAGAATTTCTGACTTTTAGAAATATGTAGAGATCACAAGTCACCTTGTGTTAACATCCTAATGTAGTTCCTTCTAATCTTTTTTCTCTGAATTTTTACATACTTGCGATAATACATATTTGGTTTTGCATCATGATTTTTTGTTTTTGCTTTTAACCTTTTAACATAACCATTTCCTATGTCATTATGGATTTTTTCAAAAGTTGTTTTTAATGATCTTACAATATTCTATTTTATGGATATACCATAATTTGTATACCCATTCCCTTATTACTTGTTAATGACATTGTTTTTAGAGTTTGAATATAGAAATATCACAATTTTTTTAAACTAATGGATGGTAACTTCCATGCACATAGGAGCCCTAATTTTTGTTCACTGTGGCTCCACCCCAGGGCCCAGCACAGAGCAGGTATTCAGAAAGTAATTGTTGGGTTAATGTGCATACCAAAATCCTGGTGCTTATCTCATTATTTTGTTAAAATTGATTCCTAAAAGTTGAATTATTGTGTCAAAGGATAGGAACTATGAGCTTTTTAAAGATTCTTAAAACAAATTGCCAAAATGCCAAATTACTTTCCATAAAGGTTATCATACCCGTTTTTACCCTGGTTAAGCAATAGGGAGAATGCTTGGCTTACTGTAATCTCATCAACATAGGTTATTGATCACATTAACTACTTCAGTGGCTAATAAAGTAAAAAGTCGGGCCGGGTGTGGTGACTCACACCTATAATCCCAACACTTTCGGGGGCTGAGGGAGGAGGCTTGCTTGTGCCCAGGAATTCAAGACCAGCCTGGGCAACATAGTGAGACTCTGTCTCTACAAAAAATTTTAAAAATTAACCAGGTATGGCCGGGCGCGGTGGCTCAAGCCTGTAATCCCAGCACTTTGGGAGGCCGAGGCGGGTGGATCACGAGGTCAGGAGATCGAGACTATCCTGGCTAACACGGTGAAACCCCGTCTCTACTAAAAATACAAAAAACTAGCCGGGCGTGGTGGCGGGCGCCTGTAGTCTCAGCTACTCGGGAGGCTGAGGCGGGAGAATGGCATGAACCCGGGAGGCGGAGCTTGCAGTGAGCCGAGATCACGCCACTGCACTCCAGCCTGGGAGACACAGCGAGCGCAAAAAAAAAAAAAAAAAAAAAAAAAAAAAAATTAGCCAGGTATGATGGCACATGCCCATAGTCCCAGACACTCAAGAGGCTGAGGCAGGAGGGTTGTTTGAGCTGGGGAGTGAGATATGATCATACCAAGGCACTCCAGCCCGGGCAACAGAGCAAAAAAAAAAAAAGTCAGTCTCAAAAAAGATAAAAGAAAGAAAAAGTAAAAAGTCATTTATCACAGTCTTCTTTTGGTATTTTTTATTCCTATTAAGGAAAAAAAAATTTTCTTGTATCTATTAAAGCATGAAAAATGTGTACCATGCTCATTTTTATATTGAGATAATAGTGTTCTTCCTACTGATCTGCAAAGCTTGTTGTATATTAGGTATATTTACCACTTATTGCATATTTTTCAATTTAACATTTATATTTTATGTTATTTTGGAGGAGAATATGCAGAGGCTTTAAAATCCTATGTGGTCAAACCTATCTTTTCCTTTGCAATTTTTTGCACTGCATGTATGTTTTGGTACTAATTCCTATTTCAGAAAGCAGTTAAGTGATAACTTACATATGCATCTAGCATTTTATAAAAATTTATTTTTGGATTATGAAATAGGCTCTAAACTGAATTATTTTTGAGTCATTAACTTTTCTGACATGAGAAGTTGAATTGATTCAAGATATACTGTTTACTTCACGTTAAGTTTTTCTACACATAGGGTATGTTTAGAGATTACTCTTTATTTTACTATTGTGATAGTTGTAGTTTATAGTGTTTTAAAATCATCAATGGCATACTCTCTCTTTTTAAAAAAAATTTAGTCTTATTCTTCTAGAGGAACATGAAAATAAATTTTGTCAGATGACTAATACAAATCCCATTCAGAACTAATTTAAGTCTCTAAAGTAATCAGAAGATCAGGTACTTTTACAATGGGCATTTTCAGATTACAGTTATCTGCCACTTCCAGTGGATCTTCCTTGTTGCATTCCACTGCCATAAGAGTGGGAGACTAAATAAACAGAGTTTCTCTAATTTCCCAATCTAAGTGCCATCATGGGTGTAGACAGGAGGAGTATAACTTCAGTTTCTCTTTGATCATCACAGTGCTGCAGGTGTGACCAACAGCCCCCCTAGAGGATCTGTTTCTGACCTAGATGTGTTTGGGTTCTGGGTGAAGATTTATTCACCTGAGATGTGTAGCCCCAAGGACATGAGTATCTATTCCAGAGATCTGGATACGCTGATTCCACTCAGATGGCATTGGTAGGGCTTTATTACTTTGTGGAGAAAACAAAGGCACTCCAGCCACCAAATTCTTGGAATACGGTAATCACTCAATCTCATGTCATGTCACATGGTGTTCCTTTTTAGTCGAAAATAATTTTCTTTTCTTTTTTTTTTTTTTTTTTTTTTGAGACAGAGTGCCCCTCTGTCACCCAGGCTTGAGTGCAGTGGTGTGGGTCTCAGCTCACCGCAACCTCCACCTCCTGAGTTCAAGTGATTCTTCTGCCTCAGCCTCCTGAGTAGCTGGGATTACAGGAACACGCCACCATGCCTGGCTGATTTTTGTATTTTTAGTAGAGACTGGGTTTCACCATGTTGCCAGGGTCTGTCTCGAACTCCTGACCTCAAGTGATCTGCCTGCCTTGGCCTCCCAAAGTGTTGGGATTACAGGCATGAGCCAGCACCTGGCTAAAGATAATTTTCTATAAAATTCTTCTTGCTCTTTTGTTTTGTTTTAGAAGCAGTCAGAATAAAATAAGTACATAACATCTCTCAATTTCTATTTTATATATTTTTTCTGATTAATAAAGGAATATAAGCTCATCATGGCCCATTAAAAATACATTAATTCCCAGTTATACCTACCTGCTCAGCTTCTGGTAAATCTTGCGTCTTTGAATTTCTAATTTAATGCTTGTATCCTAAGTGCTTTTTTCACTTTTTGTGTCTAGTTAAAAAAAAAAAAAATTACTGAAATTCTACTTCTTAGGAAATTGACACATAAGATTTTGAACATATGATGTGAGGATATTTTAATAGATCATGTTTAGATAGAACATAATTTTCTAATACTTTGGGTTCTTTATAAATAATAAATGTAGAGGGAAAAGTGGGTAACACTTTGGTCAACCTGAAACTAAAAACAACAAGCCTTCTTTGGGAACCAGGAGATATGTACACATGTGTCCATGTGTGCACACGGACTTGCACACACACACACATCCTCTGCATATACAACTCCCTCACCCCACCACCCCCTTACACACACAGTCTTTTAGAAGCAGATGTAGGATTTGTTTGTAGAAATGCAGGTGCAAGAAGTTTATGGGAACCTTAGACCATTGCAGGGCAGTTACTCATTAGCCTCATTAGCTCAGTCCCTCCAGTAGGAGAAGTGAAGGTACCTTGCATTATTAAAAAGTAACCAAATCAGTGTGTCTTTGCTCTTAAGCATCCAGGTAGCATTCATTATTCTACAGGGCTATTTTATACCCCCAAGCTGCTAAACTGTTCTTTTATCCCACAGACTCCTATATGCCTAAACACTACATGAAAAAAGAAAACTCTTGATCTTTAACAGTTATGAAGTGCCTGCCTTCTGGCATCAGAAGAGAACAAAAACAGGAAATACAAACTGCAGGGTGGTTCAGTAAAATTACTGAGTTGTATAACAAAAAACAGTTTCATGAAGCCAAGACTTTGCCTCTTTGAACACTCTCTTTGTCTGACCATGAAACCAACAGAGCAGTGGTGTTTCTCAACTAGGACTTTTAGGAATCCAATGTCTACACTGTATTAAATAGATGCCCATGCTGCAGAGACCATCTTCTTATAGGTGACCCCAGTTCTTAGCAGAATGTGAAGCCCAGAGTTTGTGCTAAGTATTTGGTAAGAGAATGAATGGCTGGCAGGGCAGCTTGAAGGACTGATGAATATTTACATTGTATATTTCTAGTGATGTAGCGGTTCATGATCATATGGTGTGGAGGATGGGCTCTTGCCTGCCTTTCTCATCTCTTGCCTTGTTGTAAGGACAGGGACTCAACTGACTGGAGGCTGAGGCTATCTGAGCACCATGCCCATCTGTATGTGGGAACAGTATGCAATCAGAACAAATTTGCTGCTTTCTTCTGTGGAAGAGTTAGTTGATGTGCAATCAATGGCATATCAGTCTGTACTTCAATGCTGTGAGTTATATTCAATCTGCTTTAGTTTTTCTGAGTTGTTTTAATTCACCTCGTTTAGATTATACAACCTATTCTGCACTGGAATTCACAACCAGCCTAACTTCATCTAGCGTTTGGGAACAGTGGCTCTTTACTCATATGCCTATTGTTGCAAAAGTACATGACTTTCACATTCCTGTTATTCCTTGGAAGCAAAGAGTCTCTGCTTTTTCTGCCTTTGATGTCTCTTTTTCTCTGTGCATCTGTTTTTCTGAGTGCTGTTGCTAGTATTTTATTCTCTACAACTCCCACCGTATATGGTGAATTTCTGTTTCTGTGTATTTGTGCAGGTATGTGCATGTGTGGAAGTGCAAGTGTGTGCCTATGCACATGAGATATATGGTTGTGTCTACCATAACATATATCACATCTGTTGGTACCTAGTTTGTGACAGATAATATGCTAGATGCCGAGATTACAATAACAAGATATAGTTCTTGTTTTTGAGAATTCTCATCCTTAGCAAAGAATGCAAACTGTAATTAAATCATTACACCACAATGAAATAATATATAGGTGTTTGTAAAATATATAAATGTAATTATACAGGCAAGGGGTGTTAGGAAAGGCTAAAGAAAGCAAGTACTATTTAATTTTGGCCTTGAAAGTTGAGTGGGAGGACAGTAGGACAGAAAACACAAGAACATTCCAAGCACCTGGGTGTGCAGGCAGGAAATTGTGGACGTGCACCACACATTTGGGGAACTGAGAGAAATAGTTTGGGCAGAGCACAGGGTTGACAAAAGGCAATTACTGGAGATGCAGCTAACTACAGTCAGATTTGGTTTTTTAAAGCAAAATTCTTTGAAAACTTTAAAAAGGTGTTCAATTATAAATATTATTACCTAAATGGTCTTATAGGTAAAGTTTATATAAACAGAAAGGAAGACAAATGGGTTTGCACAAGAAGAAATAAAATTTTTACTTTGTATTTTAAAATTGAAGAGTGGGCAAGTGTAATGGTTTGGTTTATCACATCTTTCTGTAATTTATTCTTTTACATTAAAAGTTAATTGTTGATCTGGCACAAGATATCCTCAGTGAAAAAAATAGTAATTCATTGAAATTATAAGCTAGGCACCTCCTAATTTCTAAACTTTATTTCCTAGTTCTTTACAAATCATTCTGCCATAGGGTTCAGATCATAACTGTGCTTACATGCCTTCTATTTCCAAAGAGGTAGAAATGTGCAGGTAAAACTTATCTACCTGGGCTGATGGGATTTTTAATGTGTTCATTTTTAACTTGAAGCTGAATTTGAGGGCTGGAATTATTATGCACAAATAAAATTAGCAAAAATTGTAAGCCTAGAGTATACTAGGTCTTTAAAAAATGTAAGAAGGAAAATATTTCATATCAGTTATAACAGTAATTGAATATAACTTTAGTAAAATAATTTTTAGGGATATCATTTCTTTCAGTTTACTAAGAAAATGAAGATACTGCATCTTTAGTTATCTGCCAAAATTGCTTGCAGTTTTTCTATTTTAAAACTTTCATTAGCTTTTGCAACCTCGTTTTTGTTCCCTGCGATAGTGGAAAGCCGTATCTTCTAGCATCACCACAGGCCTGGGAACTCTGTGAACATGTCCTTACTTTAATTGACTTAAAGGTTATGTTAGCAAACCACACACTGTTCTTTCTTTCCTTTTTTTTTTTTTTTTAATGGAGTCTTGCTCTGTTGCCCAGGCTGGAGTGCAGTGGCTCTATCTTGGCTCGCTGCAACCTCTGTCTCCTGGGTTCAAGTGATTCTCATGCCTCAGCCTCCCAATAGCTGGGATTATGGATATATGCCAACATACCGGCGATTTTTTTTATTTTTAGTAGACACAGGTTTCACCATGTTGGCCAGGCTGGTCTCCAACTCCTGATCTCAAGTGATGCACCCCACGTTGGCCTCCCAAAGTGCTGGGATTACAGGGGTGAGCCACTGCACCCGGCCGCAAACCACACACTTTTATATGAGCACTCCAAACCCTCTAGAAGCATCCCTGACAACTGACAATGGGAGCTTGTGAACATGTAGTCATAATTTAACCAGATTTGTAAACGGTCTTTTAGCACATCTGAAGATGTGGAAGAACTAATAATTGTTCTTAACTAAATTTCCTACAAACTTAATAAGACAGTTTTTGATATTTAATATCCAAGGTATGTTTTGAAATTTGATAATGCTGGCAAGCAGAAATGAAAATGAGTTTACTGGTAAGCATCTTCTCTTCCATACCAAGATTCTGGAAGCCAAAATACAACTGAAGGGCCTTTTTAAAAGAATCAGGTGGGCTGCAAAGAGAGGCTGAATGTGGTTCAGATAAAAGATATACCTGGAAAAGAATAAAGTTTGGATGATGGCGTGCAGTGAGGAAGATTCTAAAAGTTCTATCTTTAAGTCTCCGTTCAGGTTTTTCCATCTTTTTATGCCTCAAAGCAATTATTGGCCTACCTGTCCATGTAAAAGAGTCATAAGAAGAGTAAAGTTTTATAACTGAACAAAGTATAAGTACAAACAATTTAAGGAACTTACCTGTCAATTCCTTTGCTACTTTCTGAAGTAGAAATCTCCATTCATAAATGTTTTGTAAATTGGCATTTTTATATATGGGATTTTCTTAAGCCAAGGTTTTCAATAGGGACAATTTTACTTTAGAACTTTAGACACAAATTTTTTGTTTTTTCTTTTTATTTCTGTTAAAATATCCGTGTTCCTTTTTCATCGTAACGATTTGCAATGTTAAAATCTCAAGTTTCAGGGGAGCTGGAAATGGAAGTCCATGTAATTTTGAGTATGGCATAGCAATGAACACTGACAATGCCAGAGCTGTAAGAGGAGTTTTGGGTTGCCAGAAGCACACTAGGAAACTGTATGACCAGCTTGTGTGCAATGCTTTACAGAAAAGGGCAGACCAGTTTCCAGCCCATTTATTCCTATAAACCTAGGGAGAAAGTTTATTGACACTCTAAAAGGAAAAGATTCGTCTTAGCTTGATATGGTTTCTGCACAAGCTTGGCAGAAACCATAACCTGCCATGCAGAAATAAAATGAAGCAAAAAATATACCCATTAGCAATATTTCTTTATATTCACAAGGAAGAACAAGTCTGGTGGATCTCCTAGATCAGTCTTACCCAGTGGATATGTTATCATAACCTAGTGGATGTTGGAAATATACATAATCAGCTTCTCAGCAAATGGTTGTGTCTGATTTGCCCCATTTTCGCCCAGTGACTTGTGGGTATCCCACAATGGGTGTCCTCCTTCCCTCTTTGTACAGCAATGTCTTCAGTTCCCAATCCCTGCTTTGTGACTTCATTGTCAACACTTGCACAAGCCAAGTGTAGACTCACAAGAAAGAGAAACTTCTCTTTAGGAACATAAACTATTAGATATAACCCTATTCATGAGATTATTTCATCACATCAAACTCTCTTCTAGATGCCTGAGATATGGACACTTCTTATTAACAAACAGCCTGATAAAAATATTAACTTCATTAACTCAGTCCAATGATTGGCCTCTAGTCTGAGTCATAAAATATTTTCAAAGAAGATATTTTGTCACTGTCACATACACATAGTAAACATAAACCAGTGGGGTATTGCTCATCGGGCTTTATTTAGGAGATATGAAATGCTTATTTCTAGCCCTTTTTGGATTATATGGAGGTTGATGAAGATGCCACAAAGTTTCTTCCCCCAATCAACCACTTTTTACTTATTTTTGTCTTTTTGTTCTTCCCATGCTACACTGATGTATAATTAGCCACTTTATGATTCTTGTTTCCATCTTTAATTTCCAGGGAAAATATTTAAGATAGTACAAGTTTAGACTATGAACAGAATATCCCCAATTCCATATTAATGAGGTAAAAATTAATGAGAGTCATTCACTCTTTCTTCACCTCACATGATGCCCAACTTAATGCTCAAAATACAGTTCCTACTCCAGTGGAGATACAAGGAAATCCACAACATGTGAACATTTTTGCTTTGTCCTTTGACTGTCTTCCCAAGATTTCTGTAAAACTAGAATCAACTAGATTAACTGTTTCCCCATACTTTCTCTTTGTTTTCTTTTAGTTGTTCAAGTTGGTTTCCCATGTCTTGGAAAACAGGATGGGGTGGCAGCATTTGAAGTGAATGTGATTGTTATGAATTCTGAAGGCAACACCATTCTCCAGACACCTCAAAATGCTATCTTCTTTAAAACATGTCAGCAAGGTAAGCACTGATGGTGATTCAAGAGAAGACATGTTGTAAGGGCTTTAGGTGTGACTTGGGCCAAATATTTATATCTATACACACATACACACACACACGGTTTTTTGGATGATGGCTGTATAACTACAGCAACGGAAGGAGGAGATGATAAGCACAGGATTTAGCAACAGTACTAAGAAAGACTTTCTCTAACTTTGACCCCACTTTTAATATTAGGAATAGGAACCTTTTCAAAACACCTTTTCTTCCTCCCTCTCCACTCCTCCAACACAGTTGTTGGGAGTCCCAGTATATCTTACCTGTCGTCATGAATTTCCCCCCCCTTTCTTGCTCTGTTTGCTCACGGCAAGGTGGCTTGTCATTACCATCACTTCCCACTTGTCAAAGGCAACAGTAATATAACCCCTAACGAAAGCCTGATGCTGCTCACATCCATGGAGGACAGGGTGCCACCTCATGCCAGTGATTCCTACCAGGTCAAGGCCTCACTCAGTACCTCCCCACCACACCCCAGAAGCCCATTTAAACATAAAGGCCCAGGCTCCTCTCGCATCTGCATACAAGCTTTTCTAGCTCAGAATTTAAGCTCTGGAGCCTTTCAGTGCTCTAAAGATGCACCTATAAGTCATCTTACCCTCTGAAAGGGGAAAGGCAATACCATTCATTCAATTGCAGTGTGAATTTAACAAGGTACAGTAGATCCGTCGGAGGAGATGAAGGCAGAATAAAATTTGCCTTACCTTCTTCCATGAGCCCCCTACTATTGGAAGTAAGAGAGGCAAAATCTTACTCTGCAGCAGCTTTAGTGAAATCCAAGTGATATCGAGGGAATGAGTTGGAAGTACTGGTATTTGATCAATTATGATTAATTGGTGGGCTAGAACAGAAATGAACACTACTGTCTCATGCTGGCTGTGATTCACCCAACATGATTTCAAGGGTGTCCATATAAGCTTTGTTTCTCTCTGGTGAAGCTGAGTGCCCAGGCGGGTGCCGAAATGGAGGCTTTTGTAATGAAAGACGTATCTGCGAGTGTCCTGATGGGTTCCACGGACCTCACTGTGAGAAAGGTAAGACACAGAGCCGACTTCCCTTGCTCCCTTCCTAATGAACATGGATGTCATGCAGGAGCCCCATGTGGATTTTTAACACCTGAAATTATTTTTCTGGTCACAGGGGCAGAAAACTTTGGCACAATGCCTCCACTTTTTGTGGCCATTCGTGGCCATCTCCCCCAACTCGTACCACTTCACAAATACAGCCACCGTACTTTGGCATAATCTTATGATAATTTTGAGGGTTTTTTTCTCCACTTAAGTTGGGTTTAAAAAGCTAGTATCACCACTGATCTGAAATTATTCCAATTAAAAGTAGCTTGATTCACAATGAATAATATATCTGACTTATGATGTTACAAGGCAAAAAAGTGGGTGAAAAGAATTTGTGTAGCAAGTACATCAATTTCAGGGAAATTAATTTTTAAAAATATATGAAAAAAGATAAGCATGGAAACGAATATTAATCATAAGATGTTTAAATACTAAGAGCTTATCTGACTAGAGTAAGCAAAATATTTTTCATCTTCAAGAAATAAGAATATCCTATGAGAGATAGTTAAAAAATAATTTTAAAATAAGTAAGAAAGAATATTTTCTTATTTTTCTTCTTTGCATTTATCTTGGAATTAGAAGATTAAGGAAATGGGGCAGACTGAACATATTTAACAGTTTTAAGAAGACTACATCTTAGTCAAATGATTCTGGGGAAAATTTATTCAGGTATTCAAATGGAACCAATCCAAAAGTCATCTCTAAGAAATTGGCTGAGAAATTGAAAAATAGCCTAATTTATACCACAAAAATAATATTAATATAGCAAACTTGTATCTCTGAAGAGTAATCATTTTAGAGTCAACCACAAAGCTTGAAAATGTAGACCTGTTGTATTATTGACATTTCAAAATGGTCCTGCTCCAAAATACCATTTGGCCTTAATCAGGGTTCTCTCTCCCTATAAGCCCTTTGTACCCCACGGTGTATGAATGGTGGACTTTGTGTGACTCCTGGTTTCTGCATCTGCCCACCTGGATTCCATGGAGTGAACTGTGACAAAGGTAATTTCTTTGTAAGAACAAAGTTATTTTTACTTTAAAAATGTTTGATTAGAATGAGTTACTTTATATGTCCTCACTCTTCATAACAGCTCTGTAAATAGAGTGTATGGCTTAGGGTAAAGATGGCTGCTACAGTAACTGAAATCCCAATTTTAGTGTAGCGTAATAGCAAAAGTTTATTTTCATTCACAGAATGCTCCAGTGCATTTTGCCTGGTCAGTGGGCAGGGCAGCTCTTCTTCATGAAGTGACTCAGGAGCCCAGGCACCCTCTATCTGTGGTCCTGCCTAGAACTTTGGAACTCTCTAGATCCAGCCAATAGGCAGAGAAGGATTGAAGTAAGCACTGCTAAAAATAAGTAAATTAATTAAAAAATTTAAAGCCCTGGCCCAGAAGTAACCCACAAAACTTCCACACCTATTCCATAGGTAGGAATTAGCCTCATGGCCCTACCTGGATTCAGGCAGAAGAAATGTTGCCCCTGGCTGGACAGCTGTCTCCCACTGACATCTCATGTTATGTGAGTGGAGTGCAAATTTTTGTGAACAATTAGCTGGTCTATGCCACATGGAATTTTGGTATGTCCTAAATCGGTTTTGTGGGTGAACTTCCAAGGCTAAAATTAAACAACCTGCTATATATTGCCTAACCTAGAAGTTTACTGACTCCTGATTCAATACTTTGCTCACAAATCACATCCCAGAGAGATCGGGTTCTTCTTTCTCAACACTGCAGCCACACAGCCAGATTTTACTCTTAGTAAGTGTATTCAAACTTGGCCCTAAAATTGCTGAATGATTCATACTCTTTACAAGATACTTGTTTATTTTGCCCAGTTCACATCTTTTAAGTGGAAAAAAATAAAGACTATGCTGTGAAATTTGTATATTTAATAAAGTTATCTTTGTGTTAAAAATGCTAAGTGTATAAATAGAGCATTGTTTTTTGTCAATAAACATATAAGTTAAGATGGAATAATAAATTTTATTCTTGAAAAGTGTCTCTTTAGTGATCACTCAGTTAGTACCAAATAAGATTGCCATGAGCAGTTTTTTGTTGTTGTTTTTTTTTTTTAAAGGAAAGAGCCTTCAGTATGAGTCAGAATAATTTATGGTTGTTTACTCTTTTATGATGATACAGTTATGTGATTTTACTCTGAACATCTTTTGAGATATGTAAAGTATTATCCATCTCATCCTAGATAAGCAAAGTGAGGTTTATGGAACTTGAGTCGGTTGACCCAAATTCATATCCTGCACTGTACCATGTTGCCACCCAGGCTACCTAATTCAGCCCTCGATTCTTCCACAAGTGACTCTGAACCTGGGCAGGCAACTTGATCTCTGTGTGGACCATGCTTTTTCTATCTCTAGACTTGGAATTAAGCCACTGACCCTCCTGTCCCTCACCCCTGAGCTATATATAATAACTATATTGAGATAATATGTGAAAGCATTTCTGCCTTTTTAAAAGTGGTCTTTTAAAACTATAGTATTGGATTAAAAAACCTTTTTTAATGTGTTTTCATAAAGAGTAAGCACTATTTACTCTAATAAGAATTAACAGGCAGTGAGTAAAATTCATTACCATGAATCTTTTTGTCTAAATTTAGCATTCAGTATCTCTGCTATTTTAAAACTGGGCATTCTAGAGCAGAATTAAACTCTTATGACCTCAAAACTATTAATAAATAACACAAATCCTCCAGAGATTTAGTTGAAAAACTCATATATTCACAAGAGACCTTCTTACGTAGGTGTGGCCATTGTTGGTGTGGTTTGCAAAATGGAGTGTCAATTGCAGTGTTTTTCTAGTGCTGTGGTGTCACAAACACCACAAGGTCACTGTTAAAGTAATATATCTATCTATATTCCAGTATATATTATATTTTATAATATTTTATCTTTCAAATGAAAGATTTTCCTACTCATCAGACTCCAGTAACTTCTTTATTCTTTTATAAAGTCTGTTGAAATTCCACTTGGTCTCACTGGAGATCTGGGAATACTAAAAAAATTTTTTTTCTACCTCAACAAAACGTGCTTTTATTCTCCAGGAAGGAATGTATGGAGGCTCTGGAAAAATGATTTAATTACTACTGTGGAGCTAGACCTCAGCACTATCTATTTGAACAAATATTAAAGAATAACTTTCATTGGCCCTTGGGACATCACAACCTTTAGGACCTAAGGAGTTTAGCATTGGCCAGTGGGGCCTCAGCCCCAGAGAAACATACTTCATGTCTCTAGCTGCTTGTTTTTCTAATCAAGAATCATTGAACAACAGAAATGTAGAGAAACTTGCTCATGGCAATACAATAGCATACAAGTACTAAGAGTGTGGCCAAGTTATATAACAACTTTGCCGAATTCTACCATTGCATTCTACACATCAGTAATTGGGCAGTGCCCATGGGACACGGGCCAAGTGGGCACTGATCCCAAAGTTTTTCAGGGCACTGATCTCATCGTTCCCTTTTATCTCCAAGAGAAACAGAAGTGAGGAGACAGGGCACATTTACAAAAACAACTGTCCAGCCTTAGCAATACTGCAGCAAAGAGGAGGCCCCAAGAGCTGGTTCTCCTAAATCCTAAATCCCATACCAAAATACTACAGCTCCCTTCCACGTTAAGAGGCTTGATTTTTTTGTGACCTGTGTGGGCAATGTAGCGAGACTCCATCTGTACAAAAAAATTTCAAAACTTAAGTAGGCATGGTAGTGTACACCTTTACTCCCAGTCATCTGGGAGGCTGAGGCAGGAAGATCCCTTAAGCCCAGGGGTTTAAGGCAGCAGTGAGCTATGATTGTGCCACTGTACTCCAGCCTGGGAGACAGAGCAAGACCCTGTCTCTTTCAAAAAACAACCAAACCAAAAAAAAAAAAAAGAGTTTTGATTTTCCAAAGTGAGTACAGCACTGCCTTCAACTGGGAGATCTTTGTGATTTTAAACACAATTTATCATCTAAGAAGCATGATATTCATAGAACATTTTACTTGGTGGACTTTTTTTCCACAAAGAAAACATACACTTAGAACTTTTGGATTTCTTTTCTGATTTTCCTACTGGAAGCTTACTTTAGCTTTTGTTCATCTATAGCGAATTTTGGCCAATTTTATATGGGACAAGAACAAATAGGTCATATAACTGGAATTGCTAAAAATCCAAGCTCTCATTTTAATTTCCTTTATAGAATGAGCCAACTTGTCTATTTTTAGATATTTCCTCTCCTCCTCTCCCCATTTATCCATCCTCCCTCTATTTTAGGTGCTAGTGAGCAGTGAAATTCCAGAAATTGACACTGTGAGAGAAGGTTTAGGATGAATCACAAAGTGTGATTACTACCTGGATAATCTGGTTATTGGGCTCCCACTATGATACAGCCAACTTCATTGTCGTCTGGTCCATGCTGTGGCCACACTCCTACCTATGGCATCTCACCTGGGCCCACATTCTTTTTCTGAATACAGTTACTCTTTTCTCCAAAAGTCATAAAAGTCTATTTTTTTAAACAATCCCATTAAGATAAACCTTTGTTCATCTTATCCTGAAAGAAAGTAGCTTTTTTTCTTTGTCAGGTCCTGATATTTATGACTTCTCTTTTATCTATTCCAAAGTAAGTCTTCTCCTTTTTACTCTTCCTTTATCCTCCAATCTGATGTTTACAAAAAAAACATCCTTAGGTTTATACCATTCTTCTTCTTTTAAGGGCATAGATATGTATAAAAAAATTTAAAAAGCTAATTTTTTACTGTGCCTTTCTTCACTGAGATGGAAACTCCTACGGGTGGGTAGTATATGATGTGTGTGGTCTCCTATTATGTTCTGGAGTCTGCACATAGGCAAGCAATTGGTTACAATTTTTATATTTGTAAAGCAGCTTATTTCTTTAAGTCAGGAAATGGACAGGCAGCAGATGCCTAAAAATAGTACCTCACTTTAAGTGAAATTTGTGTTAGACTTAACCTACCGTCTAATGCCAACACCCCTGTTGCTCATTCTAACAGCAAATTGCTCAACCACCTGCTTTAACGGAGGGACCTGTTTCTACCCTGGAAAATGTATTTGCCCTCCAGGACTAGAGGGAGAGCAATGTGAAATAAGTGAGTATTAACTTTCTACCTTCTTTTGACTTAGGGAGAGCTTATAACCCCTTCATTTTATCAAGAAGGAGTCAGAAGCCCAGAGAGAATGAATAGATTGTCTAAGGTCTTAGGCCAGTGGTTTCTTTTTGCTAGATTCAGCTGCCATGCATTTTGGCTGAAGGTGGGGCAGAGTGACACAGCTCACCTCACAGGACTCAGAAGAAATGATCTCTGACTCGGTTATGTCTGGATTTGGATTATTCAGCATGTTGCATTGTTCTCTGCTAGTCATTTTGTCCTCTCCTCATTATGTGGAACCCAGAGGTTCAGACTGGAAATGTAGATCAGAGCTCTGGGACAGCTGGGATCTGTTTACCTACCTACCTGTTTCCCCTGCCGCTCACTGCCAGATGTCCTAGACTGAGCCTAACAACCCATCTAAGAGAAAAAGGTAGACTCAAGAAAAAGGAGGAAAAAAAGGCGCATAGCAATAATAAAAGAATGAAATAATAGCACACACGGCAACATGAATGAACCACACAGATACTAAGTGAAAGTAACCAGACACAAAAAATTACCTCCTGCATGATCCCATCTTTTTGAAGTTCAAGCTAATAGGTGAAACTAATGGATGACGGTGGAAACAAGAATCACAGCTGGAGCAAAAGGAACTTTATGGAATGCTAAGTATCTTGATTGGTGAAGTGTCACACATCTGTTTATGTAAATAAAAATATCTGAACTGTAAACTTAAGATTGGTGCACATTATGCCTTTACTATATATTTGTCAGACGTCAATACACAAAAGTTAAAAACATAAGTGTTGAAATGTGGTAGCTTATCATCGTTTTCGGAATCAATATTCCAGTATTCCAATTGCTTGTCCAGGCTCTGCCACTGACCAGCCATGTAGCTCTCAGCAAGTCATGTAGCCTTCTCTTTAACCCGGAAATGAGGTAACTCCCTCCTAGATTGCCTTACAATCCAGAAGAACAGATAGCACCAAAGCACATGCTCAAGAAAGAGCAAAAGGAAGGTCAGCCTGTCCACTAAGGGTCCTGTGTCCCTGCCTTTCTTGATGTGTTGGTTGAGGGAAACTTGGTCTGTGTTTCATTTCCAGCTGTATCTGTAAAACACCACTGTTTGGTATAGCCAAACAGTGTGTACAGTAGTGTATATAGTAGTGTATTGTAGATTGAAAGTTGAATAAGACTAAGTTCCTGTTTGAACTTTCAACCTCTAATTTATTTGTGGGTTTTTGTACTTTAATGAGTAGTGGATGAAGTAACCATTTTTTATAGGGTTCAAATGAAATACCTCTAAAGTTTCCGTAGAGCATGCAATTAATTGTCTGGGTGTGGTTTCTATTCTTATTAATTACTCTTCCCAGATAAAGATATCTCTGAATTAACTCCCCTCAATTTTCCCCTGTACTTACTTCAGACTCTGCACACTTACTTGGTTCATGGTTATGAATCTTTGTTCATAAACTCATTTTCCTTCATGTAAATATGCCCTTTCATGTCCTTAGGTTTATGAATCTTCTGTTGGCAGAGACAATGTTCTGTATTCTTGGTTTTTTGTTTTGTTTTTTTCTAACTGCATCAAAAAATGTGGGTCTTTGAAAGCTCCTGATTCACCCTACTGCAAGTTTTATCCAAAACCTCTGCGGAAGTTTCCTGTTTCTATCATGGCAACCACATTACCAGGAAAATATGGAAATGGGTCTTGAGTTGAAAAGTGCCTCTAAAGGTATAGAAACAAAAAAGTATAGTTGAATTATGTATTCTTTTTTTTTTTTGAGACGGAGTCTTGCTCTGTCACCCAGGCTGGAGTGCAATGGCCAGATCTCAGCTCACTGCAAGCTCCGCCTCCCAGGTTTACACCGTTCTCCTGCCTCAGCCTCCTGAGTAGCTGGTACTACAGGCGCCCGCCACCTTGCCCGGCTAGTTTTTTGTATTTTTTAGTAGAGACGGGGTTTGACCTTGTTAGCCAGGATGGTCTCCATCTCCTGACCTCGTGATCCACCCGTCTCGGCCTCCCAAAGTGCTGGGATTACAGGCTTGAGCCACTGCGCCCAGCCCCTGTATTCTTATTTTTAATTAAGATATAAGTCACAATCATATAAAATTCAACATTTTAAAATGTACCATTCAGGTTATTCACAAGATTATGTAGCCATCACCTCTATCAAATTCCAGAACATGTTATCATCCCCAAAAGAAAGTCTGTACCTATTAGCAGTCACTCCCTCTTCCCCTCTCCCACCAGACCCTGGCAACCAATAAGCTACTTTCTGTCTCTAGACTTGCTTATTCTTAACATTTCACATAAATGGAATCATACAAGATGTGGCATTTCTTGTATGGCTTCTTTCACCTGGGTTCATTCTAATGTTTTCAATGCTCACTCATGGTGTAGCATATATCAGTGCATTATTCCTTTTTATTGCCAAATAATATTTCATTTTATGGATTTACTACATTTTGTTTATTTATCAGTTGTTGGACATTTGGGTTGTTTCCACTTTGGGGCTATTATGAATAATATTGCTATGAAAATCTGTGTGTGAGATGTTTGTGTGGACGTTTCCATTTCTTCAGAATATTTACCTGGGGGTGGAATTGCTGAGTCACATGGTAACAACTTTTTTGAGGAACTACCAGACTGTTTTCCAAACATTTCCAAAATGTTGCGTCATTTTACATTCCCACCAGCAGTATATGAGGGTTCCAGTTTCTCCACATCCTCACCAGCACTCATTGCTGGCTGTATTTGTTTGTTTGTTTGTTTGTTTTGTTTTTTAATGAAATGTATATTCTGATGTCATCTTTATTTTCATTTCTCCTGACCTCTATCAAGAATGATACCATCTCACCTGGGCGCAGTGGCTCATGCCTATAATCTCAGCACTTTGAGAGGCTGAGGCAGGCGGATCACCTGAGGTCAGGAGTTAGAGACCAGTCTGGCCAACATGACAAAACCCCATCTCTACTAAAAACACAACAATTAGCCAGGTGTGGTGACAGGCGCCTGTAGTACTAGCTACTCAGGAGACTGAGGCAAAAGAATCACTTGAACCGTGGAGGCAGAGGTTGCAGTGAGCCAAGGCTGAGCCACTGCACTCTAGCCTAGGAGACAAGAGCAAAACTCCATCTTAAAAAAAAAAAAAGAAGAAGAATGATACCATCTCAAACTTCATTCTGAGTTGATTGTGAGATGTGCTTGTAGGTTAACAAAATTATAATTAGAGGTATCTGGATGGATGATATGTACATTCATCTTGTTATCTAAGACTCATGGATTTCCCAAGAATCTTTAATGAACCTTCAGTTAAAAAGACTACCCAAATTATTTATAATCCTTTTCTACTGCAAAGATTATTAGAAAAGAATTAGAAAAGGATTTTAAAAATAACTGAGTGGGTTCTTCTTATAAAAGTTCTCAATATAAAATGTTCTCTGTTAAAAATTTTTAGAATATTGGAGGAAACAGTTAAAAATCACCTACCATCCTAAAACCCAGAGTTAACAATTGTTGGCACTTAAAAACCCTTTTATCTTTTTTCTTCATTAAACTGTCATGAATTTAAGTTATCCTACAATTGCATAAGTGGAGGAAATCTAACGTCTTTATTTTGTCAATACCTTATTTCATTGTTCTTACAAGGACTCATCCATTGGTTACAGTAAAAATGCCAACAGCCTAAACTTAGTCAAATCTGTTTGTCTTCAGGCAGGGCTTAGTCTGTCTCTCTCTCTCTCTGTCTCTGTCTCTGTCTCTGTCTCTCTCTCTCTCTCTCTCTCTCTCTCTCTCTCTCTCTCGATGGAGTCTAGCTCTGTCACCCAGGCTGGAGTGCAATGGCACCATCTTGGCTCTCTGCAACCTCCGCCTTCCAGGTTCAAGCGATTCTCCTCCCACAGCCTCCCGAGTAGCTGGGATTACAGGTGCCTGCCACCACGCCTGATTAATTTTTTTATGTTTTTAGCAGAGACAGGATTTCACCATATTGGCCAGGCTGGTCTTGAACTCCTGGCCTCCAGTGATCTGCTCACCTCAGCCTTCCAAAGTTCTGGGATTACAGGCGTGAGCCACCATGCCCAGCTAGGGCTTAGTCTCTTAAGTAAAAATGTGCCATCTCCCAGGCTGAATCAGTTTTCCACTATTTAATGGGTAGAATTTGGTTGCAAAATATTTGCAGGAAAAAGAAGTTCATATTAAAGATGTTTCCAGTATTCTGAATTTTAAAACAATCAGATCTTCATGAATTTTGGCTCTTACAGTCTTTGAACTAGTAATGGCTTTCAAATGTCTAACATCTCCTGCAGTCACGTTTCTGTTGTGTGATAGCCAGGAGAGAATGTCCTCCTTCCTGACTGCGGTGAATCTAAGGGTCCTCACTTCCCTGTTGCCATGAAAACAAAAAACCTCTTGAAGTCAATGAAAGGATTCTCTCCACCAATCATTTTCTGTGTTATCCCAGTTACCAACTTCACCCCTCATAGAGGAGGAGAAAATTCGGGCCCACCAAGTAGTTTACATATGAGTACTCTGTGTTTTCTGCCATATAATTATCATCCCATACCTTGCTCGCTTGAAAAAACCTGGTGCATTGCAGAGTACTGTGATATGACCCAATTTTGTGTATATGTTGGAGTCAGGTATTTCTTTGATGCAAATGGAAATTTGGAGTTAGATATTCCTTCTTCTGGGTGAGAGTTGAGATCTTAACTAAACAGTAAATGGTATTCTTGTATTCAAACCTGGCCAAAAAAAAAAAAAAAAGAGGATCCTCTTTTGGTCAATGAAGAGGTGATATTCTGTTATTAAGTTTGTTTTAATAACTGTTTCTGGAACACCTCTATGCAGAAAAACCTCAATGTCTAACAGCATTCCAGGTTTGTGAGAGACCCTAACATCCCAATATTGTTATGTCTATATTGTCTCTACAATGACTAAATACTGCTTTGGTCTACTCATATATGAAGAAAGTCCTTTTAGGTAAATAAAAAAATAAAATGTTTTTAGTAGAATGATTTTCATAAAGAATTTACTTCTTGCTTGTCACGAATAGTACTTGTCAGTAAAATATATAGGGGTTGACTTCCTTCACAGCTTTCTTTGGCAATAAAAAGAAGGGCTTAGAGAGTGAAAGGCGGGTTGGTTTAGGATAAATTTTCATTAGTTCTCCTTATATACCCAGAAACCTTTGTAATGAGTGTTCTGCTGAAGTGAATAAAAAGAAAAGAAAAAGAACAACAAAAGCAATCCAAACTCCTCCACTACCAAAATCTATGGGCTACTTGCTGTCTTCAAAACATCTTATGCCAGGCATAGGATGTGGTTTCAGCTCTAGGTAAAAAGTACCTTATCTTCCACTTCTTCAAAAGCTAGGACTTAGGTTAGCAAATAATAGATTGCAGAGGGAGAATAGCCTCTGGAGAAAGAAGTGAGAAATTTATTACATGATTTTTACACCTAGGGCCTTACTCCAGCTCTAAAATTCTGTGATTCAAAGATCTGTGAAAAGCATTCGTAATACTCATTGGGCAAAGAGAAAAAAGAAATTACGAAGTATCATTATGGACCTAGGACGTTCCAGGAAAATGCACTGCTGTGATATTGGGCACCTTTTGTGTCACATCTCACAGCCTCTTGGCCAGCCTTGCACGCCAGCCATTGCCACTGCACCTCGACTTAGCGGCCCCATACTCCTGCTTTCCACCCACAAACACACTTTTGTGTTGCCTTTCCCTCCTTCCGTTTCACCCCTCCCATTCCCCCATTCCTGTTTCCTACAATCACTTCCCCAAATAAACTAGCTGCATGCAGGTCCTGCTTTCTGGGGAATCCTAGGCAAAGACTGTCATCAGGTACAGGTATAGAGTCACTTTCAAAAAAAGTGACATTCAAAAATCAAAACTCGGCCACGCATGGTGGCTCATGCCTGTAATCCCATCATTTTGGGAGGTTGAGGTAGGAGGATCACTTGAGGTCAGGAGTTCGAGACCAGCTTGGCCAACAAGGTGAAACCCCGTCTCTATTAAAAATACAAAAATTAGCCAGGCATGGTGCCACATGTCTGTGTTCCCAGCAACCCTGGAGGATGAGGCAGGAGAATCACTTGAACCTAGGAGGCGGAGGATGCAGTGAGCCAAGGTCCCGCCACTATACTCCAGCCTGGGCAAAATAGCAAGATTCCATCTCAAAAAGAACCAAAAAACAAAAACCAATACCCAGAGAAAAGATTATTAAAAGGGCCCTTTATGTCATAACTTTTAGTAAAGTATATCTTAGCAAGTATTTATGAGTCAGTTAAAAGATTATTCTGTTTATTAAAAAGTAATTGGATTGAGCATGGTGGCTTGTGCTTATAATCCCAGCACTTTGGGAGGCCAAGGCGGGCAGATCACTTGAGGTCAGGAGATGGAGACTAACCTGACCAACAGGATGAAACCCCGTCTTTACTTAAAAAAATATACATATATATACAGCATTTTGGCAACACATTTATAATCCAAAAGTGTAAGTTAAAACTATTATCCTATCTGTTCCAAAAACAAAACTCAAACAAAATAAAAGCCAGAGTAGATCTGAAATAAATGAAAATTGCCATTTAAAAGCATTTATCCTCTCAAAGCCTTGTAATTCCTCTGAAAAATGTAATTACCTCTGAATGAAGCATCAGGTACCTTGTTTAGTTGCATTCTTCTCTTTTTCAGGCAAATGCCCACAACCCTGTCGAAATGGAGGTAAATGCATTGGTAAAAGCAAATGTAAGTGTTCCAAAGGTTACCAGGGAGACCTCTGTTCAAAGCGTAAGTACCCCATACACATTGCCAATGTGGGCTACGGGGTCATTAAACTAGCAGGAGTCTCTCACTGCATACTTCTGTGCCTACTGCATGTTGCCCGGGCATCACAGTTAACCTTTCTTCACTGACATATATGCTTCCTTATGTAGACCAGAGGCGTTGTATGAAATCTGTGCATGTAAAAAAATGGATACTCACACATGCAACTGAATGTTTTAACTATAAGGTAGTTTCTTTGTTTTGTTTTGTTTTTTGAGACGGAGTCTCACTCTGTCACCCAGGCTGGAGTGCAGTGGCGCAATCTAGGACCATTGCAACCTCCGCCTCCCAGATTTAATTGATTCTCCTGCCTCAGCCTCCTGAATAGCTGGGACTACAGGTGCCTGCCACCACACCCAGCCAATCTTTGTATTTTTTCAGTAGAGATGGGGTTTCACCATCTTGGCCAGGTTGGTCCTGAACTCCTGACCTCGTGATCCACCTGCCTCGGCCTCCCGAAGTGTTAGGATTACAGGCGTGAGCCACAGCGCCCAGCCAGGTGTTTTCTTAAGGAAAATAAACTTCCATGATCCAGCAGTTTCAAAATCCTACTGAACGTCTTTTGCAAATGAAAAATATCATGCTTAAAGATCATTCTCAGGACTTTACAAAAAGTCCAAAACCAACTTATGGCTGGAGATTGACTTAGGAAAAAAAATTAGAGGATGAAGCCAAAACTAACACGTTCTAAAGAATTGCAAGGAAAGCAACTATGTAACTCTGTTGAAAAAGGAAAGCTCAGGAAATACTCTTTTTATTTCCTTTGATTCTAGCTGTCTGCGAGCCTGGCTGTGGTGCACATGGAACCTGCCATGAACCCAACAAATGCCAGTGTCAAGAAGGTTGGCATGGAAGACACTGCAATAAAAGTGAGTGGGAGAAATAAAAAGTTGTAAACAAGGAAAAAAATAAAAATAAAAGTGAGTGGGAGACCAGAAGAAGAGCCAGCCTTTTCACTTCTGTTTCTTGACTTCAAAGGCTAACAGTCAACCTATAACTCAGCCCTGCTTTCCATTTCATTAAAAGCAGCTTCTCTGCCTCTTCTCCCCCACACTTCTCCACCTCTTTAAACTTTAGAGTCTAAGCTTTAGTGTGTAAAGAGTAATGCATCTTTGTAAAATATCACATCTGTAAAATATCATAAATATTTTCTAGGCTAAATTAGTAATACAGATTGATTTGGGGTAATACAGTATGTTAACTATGAAAGAAATGACATATGAAATTAAGATTTTTAAATCAAATGTGGAATCAGTATCTCCTTGCCTCTGATTTTATAATTCATGATTTGTCAAGTATCATTATAAAACATGAAGCATTTTGCTTCTTAAAATATTTAAATCGTATTGGTAATAGCAAGTAAATGAGTTCTTTTGAGGGAAAGAAAAGGTTTATAAAGTTGTCTGTGGGAGAGATGTTATAATGGAGTTACATTTTTTCAAAATTTACTACCAAAAATGAGCTAGCTATGTAGATAAACAGCTGGCCTCTTTTAGACACACAATGAAACTTGCTAAATGCGTTCAGTATTGATTGTGGTCTCTCCTGTGCTAAGCATGAATCCGAGCACTGGGGACACACCAGTACACAGACAGAAAAGGCCCTGCCTTGTGGAGTGGAGGGACAGTCAATTAGCAAATTACCAAAACAACACAGTTTCAGCATTTCTGGCAGCTAGAACTCAGTCTCCTAAGCTTGGGCCCACTGTCCACTTTAGTTTGAAAAAAGGAAGACATCAGTCACACACCATACTCTTCAAAAACATGATTCCTAGCTGGGAGTGGTGGCGCATGCCTGTAGTCCCAGCTACTTGGGAGACTGAGGCAAAAGGATTTCTTGAATCCAGGAGTTTGAGATCAGCCTGGGCAACATAGCAAGACCCTGTCTCTAAAATTAAATAAATAAATTAATTAATTAATTTAAAAAAGCAAATTCACAAAATTCCAGGTTGTGTCTACCATATTATGTCACCAAAGTAATGGATACAAGTTGAACAAATCACTCACATGTCAGATATTTTCCTAGACCAGTAGTCTCCAAAGGTTGGTGAATGCAACCCAGTGAGTGTTGAAATTATCCACTGGGGTGCTAAAAGAATATACTAGTTTTTAAATATTTTTTATATTTTAAATTTGATTTATATATATAAATATACATTTAATATACTTATGGTCATTTTTCTAATTTCTAAGTTTTGCTTATATTTTACAATGTTCATATTGTATTAGTTTAATGTAGCTATAATATAATGTATAGATAATGTATCTATAACAGATGTAGTTGTACATCTGTTTACTTTAAGGTAGGTTGGTGTCTGGTCTAGGTTACATGCATTAGTCTGTTCTTGCACTGCTATGAAGAACTTCCAGACACTGAGTAACCTATAAAGGAAAGAGGTTTGACTCACACTTCCATATGGCTAGGGAGGCCTCAGGAAACTTACAATCATGGCAGAAGGCAAACGGAGACAGGTACCTTCTTCATAAGGTGGAAGGAGAGAGAATGACCATAGAAGGAACTTGCCAAACACTTATAAAACTATCAGATCTCGTGAAAACTCACTCACTATCAGGAGAACAGCATAGGGGAACCATCCCCATGATTCAATTGCCTCCACCTGGTGTCTCCCTTGACACATGGGGATTATGGGGATTACAATTCAAGATGAGATTTGGGTGGGGGCACAGCTGAACCATATCACTACACTAAGCCATTGATTTGATGCTTTTTCTCCATTGAATTAACTGGATGGTTGATTAAATTGGCTTCAGGTGGACACAGTTTAATAAGCAGTGCAGCTCCTCAGGAAAGTCGCTTCTCACACAGTGGGAATGGTTGAATGGTATCCCTCCTAGGACATACTGATAAGGAGATCTTCTTTGGACTAAAAGACCTGTAGGAGACTCAATATTTCTAGCGCCATTTTGGAAAAGAGTAAACCGAAGCCCTTATGCCACCCTCAACTGGAGACAAACCCTGAGGCTAGTCTCAGAATCAAAATAACTTTCAAAAATCCTCACACCTAGATCAGACCACACATCCCAGGACTTAGTTACAAAGGTCCTCTAAGACTCACTTCCGGGTCCCAGTGATCCCCACAAGTGATGAAGAGGGGAGAACAAGGGCACTGTTACTTCTGATGTACCCAGTCATTCTTCTAAAGGGAAGGCAAGTTAGGGGCCCTCGTGTAGTAGATGAGCCCTCCTGACAGGTCTGCCAGCCTCCAAATAGCACCCCCACTTGGAGATTATGCTGCTGAAAGCTTCTGCCATCAGTGTGCCTCCTTCAAATCCAAGCATTGCATGCCAAGAAGATGACCTGGTGCTTGATTCAAATGCAAATGTGTTTTCCAGGAGAAGTCACCCAGCCATTTTGTACATTAGCTAAAATAATTGAACTGAAAGAAGGGGGTTTATTTTGATTAGAGGGAGGTCAAGGAAGCTCTGAGGCATAGAGTTCTGCTAAGAACATACTTCCAGTGGGATGACACGTTGGGAGGTCCAGGGACCCAGGCATCATGGTGAGGAGGAGGATACTGGAGACAGACGTCCCTGCATAGGCTCACCCTCACCAACAGGGAAGTTTGGGCTTCATGGGTCACAGGCCAAGCAGCATGGTAGGGATTTACTCCAGTTCATTGGTGGCTCAGGTTCTGACCACTCCAAGAGCTACTAGACTACATATTGACAATTCAAAGAAACACATTCAGGAAAAAATTATTCTGTTCTCGGTAGCTGCGTAATGGCACGTTTGCATTTAAAAACACAAGGAACAAATAAATGCTGATTTAACTTTGATGCACAAGAAGATGGAGGCAGATTTTTACAATGTAATTTGCTGCCTTGGATCAGTTTTAGGAAATGAGAAATGAGTCACTACCCCCGAGCATCACCCCAAGTAGGAAGAAGGGAGGTCTGAAGTTGTGTAACTCAGTACATTCCATTTACAACCCAGGTGGAAACAGATAGATGACCACCTTGACCAAAACACAAATCTCCATTGATAAGGAAGAGTCAGTTCAAATCTTAACCTTTTCCTTAACACGTATAATGGAAGTCCTTAATTTTTACAAAATTCCTGTCTTATAAGTGCAATAGCCACACCCAATCATGTGATCTTTATGAAGAGTAGGGTCATCATATTGAACTGGATCAATATCAGCTAGGTTAGGTTTGCAGTGCAGTGAAAAGGATCAATGACCAAATCTGTAGCCGCATTCAAAATTTCAGTGCTAGATCCTTACCAGCCTTTGGATGGAGACTATCCTTCCAGTCACATTCACCCAGATCTTGCATCAAGAGTTTCTGCATGGCGAGAATATATAGAGAATAAGAAATCCAACAGAAACCTGGTTTCATGGAGTTAGTAAAATGGGTTGCTCTTAACAGAGATCTCTTCAGTCAGGTAGCTTTTTGTGGTCATTGTGGTTTTTCACTCTGGGTTGAAAAGGCAAAAATGGATTTCATTTGAATGGTTAGTAATGAATCTGAAGAGCCTGGTTTTGTAGTTTCTTTCCTTTTAAGCTGTGAATAATTTTGCAGGGTATGGAGCCAGCCTCATACATGCCCTGAGGCCAGCAGGCGCCCAGCTCAGGCAGCACACGCCTTCACTTAAAAAGGCCGAGGAGCGGCGGGATCCACCTGAATCCAATTACATCTGGTGAACTCCGACATCTGAAACGTTTTAAGTTACACCAAGTTCATAGCCTTTGTTAACCTTTCATGTGTTGAATGTTCAAATAATGTTCATTACACTTAAGAATACTGGCCTGAATTTTATTAGCTTCATTATAAATCACTGAGCTGATATTTACTCTTCCTTTTAAGTTTTCTAAGTACATCTGTAGCATGATGGTATAGATTTTCTTGTTTCAGTGCTTTGGGACAGATTTTATATTATGTCATTTGATCAGGTTAAGATTTTCAGTGTGTAGTTGGCAGATATTTTCAAAATCACAATGCATTTATGGTGTCTGGGGGCAGGGGAACATTCGAAAGGTTAAATTGGGCAAAAATGTGTAAGTCACAAGAATTTGGATGGAGCCATTAATAATGTTGAAGTTACAGCATTTCAGATTTTATTGTCAGATATTTAGATGTTTGTCACATTTTTTAAAAATCGCTCTTAACTTTTAAACTCTCAATACAGTATATTTTGACCTTACCATTATTCCAGAGATTCAGTATTAAAAAAAAAAAAAAATTACACTGTGGTAGTGGCATTTAAACAATATAATATATTCTAAACACAATGAAATAGGGAATATAATGTATGAACTTTTTGCATTGGCTTGAAGCAATATAATATATTGTAAACAAAACACAGCTCTTACATAATAAACATTTTATACTGTTTGTATGTATAAAATAAAGGTGCTGCTTTAGTTTTCTGAGTGTTGCACGGAGGTGATCTTTGCACATGCTGTCTTATGAAAATAAAGTTGGTTGCAATTTAGTGGTAGTTAATATTTCCAGTATCATAAAGAAACAAAGCTATTCCTTTGTCTACCCCTGCCTTAGCTCTTCAGTGTCAGCCCTCCCTCCCAGCTCTCTAACTGTACTCCAGCCATGCCATACTGCTCTCTGTTGTCACCACCTGCAACGCTATTTATGTCAGGTCTCAGCTTGTTATTTCTTTCAAGAATATTTCACATTCTCACTAAGTAGAATGTGTTAAATATCCCTTGAGTGGAAGACTTTCTCAAGGGTCAGAATGTTATAAATGAAAAGTGCTCCCATGTATTAAAAAACCTATTGGCACCATGATTTGAGAGAACCTAGCAAAAAAACAAACAGCCCTGTTAGTTCCCAAGTATAGTACATGGGTTATCTTACAATTCTATGAGGCAAGTTATCATTATGCCCTTTTACAGATCAGAAACTGAGGCTTGGAGACAGTAAGATCTCACGTGACAGGGACGGGGTTTGAATCTGTGTCATCTGACTCCAAAGTGTAACACTATGCTGCTCTCCCTCCTTCCTTTTTCTCAGCAGACACAATAGAACACAAAGCTCCACAAATCCTAGAAAGCAGCTTTCCAGCATATGTTATTCTGATTCTCCCAAAGGAATGTGGACTTAACTTCATAGACAGTCTAATGTCTACAGATTCTCTTCCACTAGGGTGTGGCATTATCAGTTGTGTGATGTAGAGAGGTGACTTGATGACCAGAAGGGATCAAGGGAAAGGCTTTGGCTGAGGGAATGCATCTTTTGATGCAGTGCAGGACCACAGCAACCTCTCCTCTAACTGGGAGAGCCTGGCCTGTCAGCCTGTGATCACACAGACTTGGCAAAGCAGGCTAGGAACCAGGGAACCAACACTGGGATCCCACTATGGGAACAAGTCATTTGTCTAAAGCTATTAAGTAAGTAAAAATCCAAATCTGTGATAATGAAGATTAAGATGGTGGCAGAAAGTCAAGTTTGGCGAGAGGATAATAATCATAGCTAAGGTATATAGTACTTACTTTGTTCTAAGCACTTTAGTTATATTAACTAACAGATTAATAATAGAATGGTAGGGAAGTTAGTCTGAAACAAAGGGGCTAACTGCAGTAATCTTTGTTGGTCATCTCTGAACCATTTGAATTGCACATTTCATTAGACATTTTTGAGCACACTGTCCTACATATGACCACTATTTATTAACATGGATAACTGCACTAATATATGCATTATAAAGCCAGAAATGTTAAAGGGAATAGAAAAAATTAGAAATATAGAAAAATAGAAATATATATAGAAATATATATTATATAGAAAAATATAGAAAAATAGGCCAATAATTGTGACTTTATGGTATATGAAATCATTGTCATTTCTGTTGTGAAGTTACCATACAACAGAATGTGGAGGGGAAGGAAGAAGAAGACAAAGAATGAAAAGGAGGGTAGTATCTGCATAAAACGCCTCTAAACAAGAATTTAAAAGTTAAGGTCGTAAGGAGTTAAGTCAGACGTATACCATTGGCAAGATAACGAAGTAGGAAAAATGAGGCAAAAGGAAATAGTGTAGACAATAAAATTGGTGGAAGAAGGAGGATTGGACAAAAGGCATACATGAGTTCCTGCACACTTGTGAGCGATGGACCATATGCTTATCTCTCACAAGTGTGCAGAAGCTCATATGCACTTTTTGTCCTAACCTCATTCCTCAAAGAGGAAACCATGGTTGGTTAGGAGGCCCAAAGACCATAAATATGAAAACAAACTAGTTGTCAGGAGAAGTTAGACTGCATGAGGTACTTCTATTCGGGCTAGATCAAGAGGTGTAGGTCTGTGGGAATGCTACTTTTTTGGCATCTCTTCAGGCTGATAATCTTTAAAATATTTCTTTCAAATTTATTTATAGAGGAACTGCATGAAAACGAGGTGAGGAAGAAAATGCTGACAGAGTTCAGCTTCTCATCCACTATTCCAGACTATATGTCTCCAGGCCTAAAATTCTTTCTGTTCTTATTGCCATATTGAGATATAGCTAGATAGATTGATAGACAGACACAAAATTTACATATTTATGGGCCACATGTGAGTGTTTGTTACACGCAAAGAATGTGTAATGATCAAGTCAGGATAATTGGATTATTTATTATTTTTATGTGTTGGTACCATTTCAAGTCTTCTCTTCTAGTTGCTTTGAAATATACACAATATTGTTGCTAAATACAGTCACCCTAGTCTGCTGTCAAGCATTGGAATTTATTTCTTCTATCTAACTGTGTGTTTGTACCCATAACCAACCTCTCTTCACTCCCCCTCTCCCCTCACCCACATTTCGCAGTCTCTGGCATCTGCCATTTTATTCTCTTTGGCACAATTTTAGATTTATATGCTTGTTATGGCCCCAGATAATGTAGGCCTTAAGCCAGATCTCACCAAGAGCAGAGAAATGTCTTCTATGGTTCTCGTAAAGAAGTCAGAGTGTCATGTAATACACAATGCTCTCAGTATTATGGACAGAGTAATAACAGAGAGGACTATTTCTTTTCATATTCTTCAAGAAGGCACAAATCTTCACTATAAAGTATGGTTTCACAAAAGCATTTCTACCAAGGTAGCAGAAGAGAAGGGAATATAGTAAGGTGAGCAATGTTTAAATCGGGTAAAGAAGAAATATTGCCATTTCAAAAGAATTTCCTAAGGCAATAAAAAATAAAGAAATAAAATTTTAAAAAAGACACACATGACTATTTAAAGAAAGGCGTTTTGTGGCAAAAATTCTTAGCTTATACAAGTGGTGCAAATATAAAATTTAATAAGCACACTGAATAAATGAGCCTCCATATGGTTCAACATAAAAAATAGAAACTGTATACAGGAAACAGACATCATAAACCAAAGTATTCAGGTGTTCAGCAAGATTTTTTAGAATTCTAATGTAAACTCCAAATGTAAATTGATTTCGTACCTGTTTACTGGTTTATCATTGATGAGTATAAAAATTACAAATGAAATGTAATTTTCATCGAGCTTTGGCATTGCAGGATTTTTCCTGGAAAACATATTTGCCTCTCTCCTCATGTTCAGCTTGCATGACTTGAAATTACCTGACTTTTCTTGAAAGTCCAAACCAGCTAGAGGTCCATGGGATGGCCAAAAAAAAAAAAAAAAAAAACTAATGAGATGACAAATAATCCACAAAATCCACAGAAGGATCACTGAAAGTTGACTCCCCGTAGGGTGAGTAATCAGCTTCCTGCTCCAGACGACATGGCAATGGAGAGTCCAGGTCCTGAGCCTGGATCAGGGGCATGACTGGGAGAGAAGAGTGAGAAGAAAGCAGAGAGCCCAAGCCGTCTATAACTCAGGAGAAGAACAGGCTACATAATTTGAGGGACCCAGAGTAAAAATGAAAATGTAGAGCTCCTTGTTCAAAAAGTATTAAAATTTTCAAGATGGTGACAGAGCATGCAACAAGCATGAGGCCCTTCTCAAAGCAGTGATCTGTGCAGCTGCACAGTTACCACACCATGAAGCTGGCCCTGTCAGGGAGCAAGTTCTTAGGTCCATGCATGAGGTAGTTTGGGTAAAATAGAAAACATCCTCCCCTCCTTAGACACTGGCCTCCTCCCTTGCCTTTCTCTTGGCTTCGGCCCCATGGCTGACTGTAAGAACTCAAGCCTTAAGAAAGAAATAATTATTAGCCAACGAATCAGTTATGTCAATGACCATTTACTGAATTTCTTCTGAATTAATATTGCAAACACAAAATTAGGGAAGAGAGTAGATGGTAAATTGAGGGGACAAGTATTTATTTGCTTTATGTTTTAGTCCAAATTGTTTGAACATCAGTTCCTGCTTAGGAAAGGAGTTAGTAGCTTTAAGTTTATAGCTCACAAGGGAAAGATATTTTTCAGAATTCTGTGAACAAGCTATTTTAATCCAAAAGATAATTTGGGGATATTCCAAGTCATAGTTGCTGTTCTTTATTAGAAGAAACACACAGAAACCTGGCTGAGTTGGGATGTTAAGCCTTGTGACAAAAAATAAATTCATCCCCAAACATGGAAGCTTAATTCAATGAGAAGCCATATGACATTTTCCAAAAACCCCCAAAACAAATGTCCCAAAGACCTAAATTAGTCTTGCCTCATTTCAAGAAAACACCCAAAACCAAAAAGAAAATCTGTGATTGTTTTTTTTACTCTGTGAAGATGACCATTTGCTCAAAGTTTGCATTTGAGCCTACAACATAACATGCTTTGAGGAAAGAACAAAGGCATCCTCTGCAGAAGCAAAGCCACCCATGGCATCAAGTCTACTGGGCATCTTGTCGAAAAATGAATCCTTGGCTGTGTCACACGAGCTAAACCTAAGTATTCTACTGGAATTGTAAAGAACAAGTTTTTGCTTTTCTGTCGGTTGGATATTCCGCCCAGGCTTGTTTATTTGGATTCTGTACTACCTTGTTTCTAATCCAAAACCAGGCCGAGGAGGTGCTTCAGGCTAATGAGCCGAGGTGAGCGTTAAGGTTGCAGTCGTCTGGCTCCACATTTAAGCCAACCTTGAAATGAGGATGTGAACATAGGTTATGCCATGACAACCTACATTGATGCAACTAAGGATGTACTACAAAAAATTACTGCAGCAATTGTGCCTTTAGAAGAAAAAGAAGGGATGGGTGCAGTGGCTCACGTCTGTAATCCCAGCACTTTGGGAGGCCAAGGCAGGCAGATTATGAGGTCAGGAGTTAGAGACCAACCTGACCAACATGATGAAACCCTGTCTCTACTACAAGTACAAAAATTAGCTGGGCGTGGTGGCATGTGCCTGTAACCCCAGCTACTCAGGAGGCTGAGGCAGGAGAATTGCTTGAACCCAGGAAGCAGAGGTTGCAGTGAGCTGAGATCACACCATTGCACTCCAGCCTGGGTGACAGAGAGACTACAT